GAATGACCGTTTACACTAAATTTTCACCCCTTTTCACCCTCTTGCTCACATACTTTTTGTTTTTGTTATATGTTTAACATATCCATTTGGCAAAGTTCCATCCACAATTTTCTTTTATAAAAAGTTTAATTTGCTGGACTAGTATCAGTACACGGAATGTTTTCTGTTTCTGTCATTTCTCTTAATAGTACCTCATATTTCTCATACACATTTAAAAACTTTATTATTTGGTCACTGTTCCACTTAATTGTTCCGGAAAAATTTTAACTAACTTTCCCACATTATTAGACGCAAAAACCAGGCCCGTAGCTAGGTGGTGGCCAAGGGGGACTAATCCCCACCTTACACCTAGAACATGGTTTGCCCCCCCCCTGGAAGTTACGGTTGATGGTTCCGTTAGAAAAATTACAAGGGCAGTCTTTATCAAAAACTTCTTAAGCCCCCCCTCCCCTAGAAAAATACCGGCCACCCCCAACTACACTGAAACTTAACAGTCCAGACAGACAAGTCGGCCACTAAACTAGCCAAAAATCTAATATGGCGTCCATTTTCCACATTTTCCATTTTCCACATTTTAAAAATGACGATTTTCACTTTTTTCCAACAACGAAACGAATTATTTTTTCAAAATATCGCATCGGAGTATCCAGCAGCATCAAAAACTACGCAACTTTGCCAATTAACCGAATCAATAAGTATAACAGTAACAAAGATAGGCATATTATCCTACTCAATTTAAGACATCCTGAATCTTCCGTATTCAATCCTCGCTCATATGACACATTTATAAAAAGTCGCTTTTGGGTCAGTCACCAGGTACCTCGAGTGTATTTGTATTGTGTTTTGTAACTATTGTAAGCATCTTTTTTGCACATATTTGACATGATGTTTAAAAGTATATTCGGGGTTGAAAATGTAGCCTAAAAATCTATATTCATCATTTGAAAAGATTGTTGTATTAATAACTTTTAATTCAATCTTTTCGGATGTTAATTTTTGCTATTCAGTCTTATGAGGGGCAACATTTAGGCCAATTTCCAATAGATTACAGTGAACAATTATTGAAATAGATTATTCGATGAGTTTTTTAAAGAGCTATGTCATCGGGAAATTATACACTTTTAGGCAAGTTTTTGCAAATAGAGGATACATATAAAGTGTAGAGTAAGGGACTCAACACGCCACCCTGTGGAACGCCTTTGTATGTTCTAATTTCATCTTTCAAAAAGTCAGTAAATACTATTGGTTTGTACCACTTTAAGGCTCGCTAGTTTGGCTATAAGTAGGTCGCTGTTGACATTGTCGAAGCCTTCTTCGACGTCTATAAAAATAGCAAGGAGTTCTTATTTCTTACTAAAAGACTCTTCTATTTTCAACAATTTATCAAATTATCGATGGTAGATCGTCCTTTGCGACATCCGGGCTAGCTCTCAGGTTGAAAGTTTTCAGTCGACTCACCATTGTATTTTTAAGCATGGTTTCAAAAATCTTGCAGGTGAAAGAAGTGTGACGTTTTTGCCATCAGGTTTTTTAAGTAAATGTACATAGGATTTTGTCCAATCTTCCGGATAATTTTCTCAATATAGTTGTTGGGGTAATTATTGTTTTCGGTTATTTGTTTTATGATGTTTAGTTCAAGATTGCAGTGATAAGTATCTAGCGGTGTGTTAATAAGTCAGTTAATGTAAAAATTAATGGCTGTGGTATTAATATGTGGAGAGTGGTAAGAATTGTAGGGGATTCTGATCTCGGTTGTAGTGGGTTTTGTAAGAAATTTTATTTTCTTGACGTGTTCTGGTATATGAAGTTTAATTGTTGATTATTTAAATTTTAAATATCTTCAAAGTTTTGAAAAATCGCAAAAAAAAGATTTTCGCTATTTAACACTTCTTAATGGAGATTTCGAATATGGAATCCCGTTTTAATAAATTTTAAGATGACGGAGAGACACGTGAAAACTTTAATTTTTCTTATGGGCGCCATTTTAGATTTTGACATTTTGAGATTACGTCTTTTTAGCGCATTTCCACAAAAATTAAAAAAATGCGCTATTGTGGCCACTTTGTCCGTCCGTCCGTACGCCGGTCGTTTTGCGACGCTACTAGTTCTTTATCTTAAGAACTATTGTTCTACTTTTTTCGCTATTTGGTTCGTTATGGTGTCGAGGCTTGCACCAAGGAAGGAATTTTTCTGCGTTTATTGCTAAAAAAGTTATTGTAAAAAAAACCAACAAACCGTTTTTTACATGTTCCATAATTTTACACTTTTGCCGTTTATTAACCATCCTAGAGATCATTTATAATTTTGTATTGTTGTCTGTAGTCTGTCTGTTAGTCTGTCCGTCTGTTCCTTTGCCTGTCTGTCCCTCTATCTGTCCGTGTGAACGATAATTTTGTTTAGAAATGTCCGGTCGCTTTTACATCTCCGTTAGTTATGAACTTAATTGCATGAAATTCAATATGGGCATAGCCTTAGCCATATAATACGCAATGCCAAAAGTTGAGTCGAATCGATTCAAAATTCACAGTGCCCTTTTCGCATCTCGACCATTTATAAACCGAATTGCAAACTTTTTTTCTTATAAAAGTATTTGAATGAAATTTGATACATAGGCACTTGGAATAAAGGAAAATCTAGCGCCAGTTTAAAAATTTTGCCCATGCGCAGTGCCAACTTTTTTTATCTATGGAGCCATTTAAGTGAAATTTGATACCTTGGCGCTTGGAACAAAGAAAAATCTAACATTAGTTTCAAAATTTAGGTTTGCGCATGCGCAGTTCCAACTTTTTTATTTAGAAAAGCATTGAAATGAAATTCTTCTTATAAACTGAAATTGAAATAGCATGTCAAAAATGGATTGCTCATGTGCAACGCTATCTTTCATATTTGTGGCCGAATTTTTACGATTTTAACAGAAGTTGCATCTTACAAATGGGAAATGAATGCAAGTGGAAATGCGCTTTATGTAAATCGTTTACGATTACTTTTTAACTTTTTTTTCTTTACAACGATATATATCACACGTGGTGATTCAGTATCACATTTTTCCTAAAATTGCAATTTTCATTTTCTGCTAAGAGTGCTTTGCAAAAACAAAACGTTCTTTTGTTGTGAACAAAAGGTTGACTTATTTCAAGTACTTAGTTTCATTTACGTTTGTGCTGGTTTTATTGCGAAAATATTATTCATTCTTATGTATTTTGTTCTAATTTGAACCACAATTTTTTTTCTTGCAAAACGAAGGTTCAATTCTGTTCAGATGAAAATCGAATTTTCTCAACACTAGTTCCAACGCTGCAACCAGACAGATGGATCAAACTGTCAAACTTTTATTCACAATGAAAGAACGTTTTGTTTTTTCAAAGCACTCTTCCCAAAACATTAAAAATTGAATTTTTAGGAAAAATGTGATACTGAACCATCATGTGTGATATATCGTTGTAAAGAGAAAAAAAGACGTAATCTCAAAATGTCGAAATTTAAAAAGACGCCCATAAGAAAAACTAAAGTTGCTACGTATTTCTCCGTCATCTTAAAAGTTATTAAAAATGGGATGCCATATTCGAAATCTCCATTAAAAAGTGTCTGAATAATGTGTTAATTAGAAATGTTTAGTACGATTACTTTACTATAAAAAAATTAAATTAAAATTAGAAATTTTCGTTTTTTTGCCATATTTTTAAAACTACTAAAGATATTTTAAGTTTCTTTTCATATTATTACTCAACACGAAAATTCTTTGAACCAACTCTCTATCTCTTAAGGTAAGCAAGATTCCCATAGTGGCACTCGAAAAATGGAGACTGTCTATAAACGCTACTTTTTTCAAAAACTAACTGTCTGCAGTCATTTTGAATCACCCAGTACTTTATTTTAAATGATTTGCCTTCTCTACTTTCCTGTAACACCTTATTATTCGCTGACGATTTAAAGATTTTTACATCCATTGTCCTATAATTGGAATTTGATTCTGTTGGGCAATAAATCATATTATTATTATTATTATTATTATTATTATTACACACGGTTTATTTTCAATTAACTCTCTTACAAATGTTAATAAACTTTAGTATTTATCGTCTATTCATACTGAAAATTTATCATTTATTCATTTATCCTGCGCTGATTGCAGTTAGAGTAACCTACAAATTGTTGCAAGATTACAGAAATGTTACGTCGTGTCAGTTACATCTCTTTCAGTGTACCTACCCTATTGGCTGTAGCTTCATCTCCATTCAGTAATCGTGGTGGGCTTTTGTACCAATAAAATTGGTTTTGCTGAGTGCTTTTCCTAACGAAAGTTAGGTTTTTGTTAGCCCAAACGGATTATATGTTTCTTCAATGAAATAAGTGTTTGACATTTTCTACCGGCCACCCTAGCTTTGTGGAATAGACAAGGGTCCAGCTGGTAGCGGGTTGAATTCCAGATTCGTGCCTGGAAATATTTTCAAGTTCGTAATGGATTGAGTTGGTAAAGGAACCTTGCCGAATAAAACCGCGCCCACTTAAAAATAAATAATAATAAAATATGTACATATCCAAAGATTGAAGCTGGAATTCATTTCTGATCACTGTTTTAAAATTATTTGATATAGGTTACTAAAAATTCATTAAAATTATTGCGTGAATAAGTGTATTTTCTTGAAATGCGAAATGTCTATTGACCTGGAGCGTGAACAATGAATTTAAACCCTTTTATGCTACCTGTGTTATGTAATATAGACCATAAAAGTAATGTTTATGTTCCATTTTCGTTTAATTTAATGTTCGCATGATACTACCTACTACCGAGTTAAATGTATTTTGGAAATAATTTAAATAAACGTATTCTTCTGTAAATGTTATGATTTTCACTTGTAAACAACTCATTACAACGTATTACAAAACGTCAAAACAATCATTTTGCATTTAGCACCTAATTTCATTCTCTACATTTTGTGACAATATAATTTATCTACTTTTTAGTGCAGCATTTAAACAAATCGTTCACTTCAACTTACCACGCGTTGTGTATCTAATGGTATAAGTTTCTCATAAGTAGACGTTCATTAATCATGTCAAATGGGTGTACACCAGAATATTTTAAAAAAAAAGTAATGCCGCCAGCGAAAATTAGTTGCACGATAAAAAAGCGATAGCTTCCATAACACGTGAATGAAAAATACTACCTATGCATCTGAACACATCTTGAGCACCGCGACGCCCGCTAGTAACGACACCGCCCCATATACGCACGCGTATATTCGCAAACCTCCCTGCACACAATAAAAACGGAAACCCTTGTTTAAAGGATGACCATCAGTCGTAAACGATGCTATATCCAATATCGCAAACATTTTTGCATTGAACCTCCATCGCCTCCACCGTCTAGCATGTGCAAAATTAATCCCGGACGATCGATTTCAATTCTCGATTTGTATTTAGAAAATTCGTGCGATCGAAATGCATTCTCGAAAGGCCTTCGAAATATCTACTCCACGAGAATTCCTAAAACGCAAAGGAATATTCGAACTCGGCATCTCTTTTCCCTTATAAATGAGATAATTATACGAAAGGGAATTCATCTAACATCTTAGGGAAGGGTTCTTTCATGAAATCGCTTTCAACCTTCCATTATAAAATCTAGGCCACACAATTTAAAGAACATTTTCAACTCAACCCACTAGATATCTCCGTTTCGTGGTGGTTATATGTAATTTTTAATAGAAACGCAACACTACTTTGTACTTATAATCATTCAATGATTGACAAGACTGGCGCGTTCTTTTTTTTACAAGTCCCTTCAGGAAATGAAATTTGCAAAAAAGAAGTAGACAGAAGAACTGAATCTTAGGGTGTTCATAAAAACGATGAATAAGTTATTAGGGATTACAAATGTAAACTTTTGTAGTTCAGAAACATCCTGTATATGACATACAATAAACTTAATCGAAAGTCATATTTATGTGTTTCCAGCTTTGCCGTTGATTTAAGAGATGATAGGTCCGGTCGTTGGACAAGTCCTTAGGGAAAATAGACATTTGTAGGTATATGAGTTTCTTTTACGATTTTCGAATAGTTTTTGTGCGACTATCTAAATTATCTTTTTTTTCCAGATGAGAGGTTTTACAATTTTAGTTCCATTTAGTAGTTAACAATATACATTTTGTCCACAATGTTAAGTGAAAACGAGTACTTATACAGCAAAGACACTGGGGGTGTAATAAGCGAGAGTATACGCTATAATTACAGTTGTGTTCTAGTGAACGGTGTCAGATTTAATTTACATACATTTCATTATAATTTCTGAGAGTAATCGGGAGATGTGAAAGTAAAGCTCAATTTTTAAATAGTAGTTGTACACTGTGTGTGTGTCATGACTGGGAAACTATACATATAAGCGTTCCCTTACTGATTTGATGGATTCAATATAAGGGAGGACGTGCGGCAATGCGAGGATTACAATTCTAATTTCTCCGCATTGATGTTAGTCAGAGCTGGGCAGAATACTCAAATAGTATTTGAATACTAAATAGTAAATACTTTACACAAATCAAAGGTATTTGAATACTAAATACTTTTACGTCCAGCACAAGCGAATACTAGATACAGATACATTGAAAAGTATTCAAATACTTAAAAAAATAAGTATTCAAATACTTTACAATGTATTCGAATACTTTCAAAAGTATTCTAATACTATCAAAAGTATTCAATACTTGTCACTCAAATACATTAAAAATTTAAAATAGTATACCTACTAGATACCATGCCTCTTTTCAAAAATTGCGTGACATGTGATTTGTGTATCAATTTCGATAAGGACGAAGTCTGCATTTGTGACAAATGCTGTCTGTTATATCACTCGCAATGTTCAGGGCTTTCCCGCTCTGATATTCAGCTGTTGTTAACCAGTTCAAAGCAGCGCCCAGCTTTTCATTGCAACAAATGCATCTCTGAAAAAGCGCAGATGTCCGACTTACTAAAAACTATTTCGGATCTACAAGCGGGATTGCACCACCTGAAGCAGGCCAAAGAAGAAAAATCTCTCCTTATTGATGATGTAGTCAACGAAATTAATGATAGGAAAAGGCGTGAAAATAATATCATTATTTATGGGCTTGAGGAATCATCTAATGATAGTCCACAGGTTAAAGAGATACTTAAGGTAGTTGCTCCCAGTATATGTACGGATGACATCGGTATCATCAGGTTGGGAAAATCCGGTCGTAACAGACCTCCACCTGTCAAGGTTGTATTGCATAAAAAGGACGATGTGCTTGTCGTGTTGAGGAATAAGAGGAATTTAAAAACCACGCATTCAAATATCGCAATTTCTACAGACAATACGAAAGTCCAGCAGGAACATTTTAGAAGAGTGCGCGCCGAACTTGAGCAAAGGAAAATGAAGGGTGAGCGTAATTTGTTCATAAAATACGTTTATGGAACACCTACCATTGCCGTTTCAAAAAACGTGAATTAAAAATAGGCCATGTTAACATAAGATCAATCAGGAAGAATTTTTTAAGTTTAAAGGATTATATAATAGACAATGATTCGGATATTATTGGTGTTTCTGAAACTTTTCTTGACGCAAGTTACGTTGATAAATATTTAAATATAAACAATTACAATTTAGTCAGATCGGATCGCTTAACTTTTGGTGGAGGGGTTGCTATTTATTTAAAGTCGTCTTATACCTTTCAAGTAATTCCATTTGACGACAATTATGAATCGATTGATCATTTATGGTTGATGGTTACAATTAATAAATTGAAAGTGGTCATTGGAGTCATTTACGTACAGCCGAGTGCAAATATTCAATTTTTTAACGATCTAACACTTATTATCGAACAGATCTATCTTAGATCACAATTGATAATCTTAATGGGGGATCTAAATGTTAATCTGTTGTGCAAACATGCTAGTGAAAGTAAAAGACTATTGTCACTGTTTTCCAATTTCGATTTAGTGCAATTAATCAATGAACCGACAAGAATTACTCCTAAAACTGCTTCATTGCTTGATGTTATTTGTGTAACTAATAGTTTTACTATAAATTCAAGTGGAACATTCGATTTACTTAACAATACAGACCATTTGCTAACTTTTTGTAACATTGGTGTTTCTTCCAAGGTAAAACAATCACACAACTTCACCTTCAGAAATTTTAAGAAGATTGATATTGACTCTTTTGTTCTTGATGCTGAACGCATTAACTGGCAACTGATTGATCAGTGCGAGGACCTCAATAAAGGTGCTAAAATGCTTAATGATTTTATTCTTGAGTTGTTCGATCTACACGCTCCTTTTATCAAAATTACGCCAAGGAAAAATTATAAGCCCTACATCACCCATAACATTATTGAAATGATTCGATTAAGAAACAAGGCACACAGGATTTTTTTAAAGAAAAGAACTGAAGCAAGTCGGCAATATTACTGCGAGATAAGAAATTATGTTAAGTCAGCGATAACTCGTGAAAAGAAGGCATTTGTGCAATACATGTTGAATTCCAACAAAAGTAATTCGAGAAAAGTGTGGTATCACTTGCAACAGTTGGGTGTACGTACAAAGAAGAGTGCTACAAACGAGATACCTGCATCTTTACAAGACCCCGCGACCATGAATGAGTACTTTTTAAATATTGCTGGTGATTCAACAATCGATTTGAATTTGATTCAGTTTTTCAATAGCACGGTGAGGTGTAAAAATGCATCTTTCACTTTTAATTCGATTACCGAGCAAGATATATATAGCGCGTTAAAAAACATTTCGTCGAAAGCCTTTGGGCCAGATAATCTCAACATAACCATGATAATTCTAATCATTCCGCACTGTTTGGATTCGGTTCTAAAGTTGTTTAATAATTGCTTACGTGATGGCATTTTTCCACAAATTTGGAAGATCGCTGATATCTTACCTCTAGCTAAAGTCGCAAATCCCACAACTTACAACGACCTACGGCCTATATCTTTACTGTCGCCATTTGCGAAAATCTTTGAAAAAATACTTGCTGCACAAATTACAAAGTATTTGGAACATTACAGCATCATACCTGCAAACCAATCTGCTTATAGAAAAAAATACGGTACCTACCAATACTGCCCTCTTGAAAGTCATGACTGACATCTCATATAGTTATGATAAGTCGCTATGTACCTACCATTTTAATTCTACTCGACCAAAGCAGAGCATTCGATTTGGTAAACCATCAGTTGCTTGTAGCCAAATTGCGGCATCTAGGATTCGACAATAGCAGTTTAACATGGTTTCAAGCTTATCTGAACGATCGTTTTCAAAGAGTTAGTCTTTCAAGTGCATCGTCAAGTTATATGAAGATTGATAGGGGTGTTCCGCAAGGAAGCGTGCTCGGTCCCTTACTTTTTTCAGTGTTTACCTACGACTCACCTACATGTCTTCAACACCTTCAATATCATCTTTATGCTGATGATCTACAGCTATACATGGAATGTAATGAATCGAATGTGGAAGATCTTCTCAACATGCAAACGTGGTGTGAAAAGAACGGCTTAAAATTAAATCCCATGAAATCTACAGCCATTTGTGTCGGTCCCGAACGAAAGTCAGACATTGTGTGTAGTTTCCAATTAACTCTTATGAACGATTCCATTACATGGTCTAATAGTGTTAAAAATTTGGGTCTTACATTAGATACTAGGTTAAGTTTTAGTCAACATGTAAATAACGTAGTCAGACTGTCGTTTCTTAAGCTCAAGTCTATTTATCACTTGAAGTTTCTGCTCAGTGAAGCCGTTAAAAACAAGATAGTTAAATCCATAATTTATCCTCATATTGACTATTGCTGTATGGTGTACTATTTTTTTCTTACAAAGAGTGATCAAGCTAAATTGCAAAAAATTCAAAATTCGTGCATAAGATTTATTTGTAATGTACCGTTTAGAGAGCATGTTACGCCCTATTACCAGAAACTGAACGAGTTGAAAATTAATTGTCGGGTCAGATATCTATACACGTTATTTTTATATAAATTGTTACAATGCAAAGTACCACTAGCTGTATTTATGTCAACTGCTAATTAGAAGGTCTGTCGTGCATAACTTAAATTTAAGGGTTAATTCCTTCACAATACCAAGGCACAATACTAAAAAATTTCAAGGCTGTTTCGCTTATATGGCACCGTCCCTGTTAAATTGTAGATTGGATAAACTTAACAAGAATTATATACAGTTCGCAAAATCGACTAAA